GAGTTCAAGCCACCGGGTCCAGGACTCGAACCATGATCAACTACATGAGAGTCCAGCAACAGCCATTACGCTCATTGCTGGTCCCCCAGCATGATTTTCAAGTCACCAGGTCCGAGGCTTGCAGTAGGCCATGTGAGATTCCAGCATCTTAACCACCACGCCACCTACCGGCTGGGCCCCACCTTTCAATACTATTACCTTGGGGTTAAGGTTTCAACATGGGCATTTTAGGGGCACACTAACATTCGAAACAGAGCAGCCCCCAAACCTGCTGGGTTCTCAGAGCCTTCTATGAATCCCTCTGCATGTCTCTACCCCATTGCTCGGCCTACTCTCCACACAGACTGCTCAGTGCTCTCCTCGGATGGCGACTCACAAGCGTTCTTCGTTCTCTGCAGGTGACAGTGACTTCTCCGTAAAGTGAAAATCAAGACCCCCTCAGCACCACCCAGGTCTGCTCTTCATTTAGTCAACACATGTTCCGCAGAATAACCGGGGGTCTGTTCTTTGCAGATGCCATAAAACAGAAGTGAAACTGACCAGCCATGGTTCCTGCTCCACTGGCCTGCCTACCAGCATGCTACACGTTAAACATGAAAAAGTGACATAAATAATCGTGCACACTGAAGGGACTAGGAAGAATTTTAGGTGGTGCAAATCTTATGAGCCAGTACAGCTTTTTTTTTTTTAAAAAAAAAGAATTATTTAGCTTTATTTATTTATTCTAATTTGACTAGAGAGGGACAGAGTGAGAGAGAGAGAGAAAACAAGCTGTCAGGTCCGAGACTCAAACAGCTGTCAGCCATGTGGGAGTCCAGCGCCCTTAACCAGCACGCTGACTGCCGACCCCTAGCACAGCTTTCCTTAAGAAATTATATTTGGGGGTCCTACAGGGGGTGTGGTGGCTAAGGGCACTGGACTCATATGTGGCCAACCACCATTCGAGTACTGGACCTAGTAGCTTGCTTTTTCATTCTCCACCCCCCCATCCCTCTCTGGTCAAATGAAATAAATTAACTAATTAATTTTTTGGGGGGGGGAGAGATTTTTCACTATAGGGCGCGTGCGCTCGCCAGACAGACAGAGAGAGACATTAGAGACAGAAAGCGAGAAATCACCCCCCAGGGGGGATGGTCACGCCGCAATCCCTTCTCCTCCATTCTCCTCTCGGGATCTTGGGCACACGCGCCCGGCGTGAGTTTTAAGCCACCGGATCCGGGACGCGAACCGTGGTCGACTACGTGGGAGTCCAGCGACATAGCCATTACGCTAACTGCTGGTTCCCCTAATTAATTTTTTTAAAAAAGGAAATTATATTTGGAGGCCGGCAGGTGGTATGACGGTTTAGAGTGCTGGATTCTCATATGCCTGACCATGGTTCCAGTCCCAGACCTGGCGGCTTGCTTCGCACTTTCCCTTTCCCTCTCTCTGGTCAAATTAAAAAATAACAACAAATAGAATTTAAAAAATTAATTCTATGAAAAAATTTATATTTGAAGAACAATCTGGACAATAAAATGGAAGTTAATGGTGGGCCAGCAGGTGGCGTGGTGGTTAAGGGTATTGGACGGCTGATCTCGGTTAGAATCCTGGACCTGGCGGCTTGCTTTCTCTTTCTCTGTTCATTTCTGTCAAATTAAAAATGCTCAAATAAATAATTAAATTAAATAATCCTTAAGAGGGGGAATTAGTGGAAGACGGGAGTCCAAGCAGATCAAGCGCATTTGCAGAGGCCCGGGGTGAGGGCGAGCTTCTAAACCCAGTTAAGGGTCCAAGGCAGTGGAGCAGGCTAGCTTCAGGCTGGGGCAGCACGCCCCGAGCCCTGAAGGCTTCGCAGCAGCAGCGAGATGCCCAGGCAGGTTTCAAGGAGCACTGCCCTGGGTGCCCTGGCGAGGTTTACCCTCCTGCCGCTCCGGGGCCCGCGCTGGGGCGAATCCCGGGTGTCCAGGCCAGCCGGGCCGGTTGTCGCCGGGTGCCTGCAGGCCGCAAGGGGCGCGGGACTGTCCGGGTCGGGCTGGGAGCTGCCGTACCGAGCGCG